GTGCGTCCAGAGCCTGTGCTCCGCAGCGGGAGAGGCCACAACACTGAGAGGCCCGCGTTGTGAGGCCTGCGTACTGCAAAAAAAAAAAAAAAAAAAAAAAAGTCTACAAATAATAAATGCTGGAGAGGGGTATGGAGAAAAAGGAACCCTCCTGCACTGTTGATGGGAATGTAAATTGGTGCAGCCACTATGGAGAACAGTAGGGAGGTTCCTTAAAAAACTAAAGATAGAGTTACCATTGGATCCTGCAATCCCACTCCTGGGTATTTATCTGAAGAAAATGAAAACACTAATTAGGAAATATGTATGCACCCCTATGTTCATTGCAGCATTATTTATAATAGCTAAGGTATGGAAGCAACCAAAGTGCCCATCAATAGATGAATGGGTAAAGGTGTGGTGTGTGTGTATATCCACACACCACACCGCACACACACACACACACACACACACACACACACACACTGGAATATTACTCAAACATAAAAAAGATTGAAATATAACCATTTATGACAACATGGGTAGACCTAGAGGGTATTACGCTTGGTGAAATAAGTCAGACAGAGAAAGACAAATACTGTATGATTCCACTGATAATATGAAATCTAAGAAACAAAACAAATGAACAAACATAGCAAAACGGAAACAGAGTTACAGATACAGAGAGCAGGTGGTTTCCAGAGGGAGGGCGGTAAGGGGAGGAAAGAAATAGGTGAGATTAGAGTTGCAAAATTCACGGTCTGAAATGTACAGTGTGGGGAATATAGTCAATAACTATGTAACTAGACATCGTGATCATTTTGAAATGTATAGAAGTATTGAATCACTATGTCGTGTAACAGGAACTTGCATAGTGTTTTAGGTCGATCATACTTCAAAAACAAACTCATAGGAAAAAAGATCAGATTTGTGGTTAGCAGGGACGGGAGGTGGGTGGAAGGGGAACTGGATGAAGGCCGTCAAAAGGTACAGACTTCCAGTTACAAGATAAATGAGTACTAGGGGTGTGATATGCAACATGATACCTAGAGTTAACACTGCTGTGTGCTGTAGAGGCAGGTTGTTAAGGGGTAAATCCTGAGAGTTCTCATCACGTGGGAAAAGTTCTTTTTAACTTTCTAAGTTTTTATCTGTTTGTGGTGATGAATGTTCACTAAACTTATTGTAATAAACATTTCCTTTGTATGTGAGTCCAATCATTATGCTGCACACATTAAACTTACATAGTGAGGTATGTAAATTATATCTCAATAAAACTGGAAGAAAAGAATTAAACAGTACATTGTACAGTTTAATTATTGCTGTGACACAATCCTCTCAGACACTTTAGAAAAGTGATTATTTAAGGCTTCTTGTCTAATAGAAGATTTTCAGAAATGAAGAACTGTGTGGTACCAGAGTAATCTTTTAGTCAGTCGATATTAGTTAGATTTTTAAAACATTAAATTTGAAACAGCAAGGTCTTTAGAGCTCGTCCCTATAATCTCTAGTATTTTGTCTGCTGCCTCACGCGTACTCTAGCAACAGACTCCTGGATTTCTGTCTGTGAGGCCAACCTGAGGTATCTGGGGACCAGAACATCTAATGAGAGAGATTGCGCTTCGCCTGGTGTTTGTCACTGGGTCTTGACCCTGATTCTCGAGATACCAAGTTGAGTCCACTAAGAAGTTCTAGTGAAAGTATTTTTCTGTTGTTCATAACATACCTCCCATTCTCACTCTGCGAATGCTTTCTGCCCCCGACCTCACTCTCATGCAGTGGTGCTGTCCCAGCACGGCACAGGCCAAGTTCTGGGCGGTGCCAAATTACTATTTAGCATACGACAGTGGTTTCCAAAGTGGAGTTTGTTTCCCGTCCATTCACAAAGTAAGTCATTGGGCTGTGTGAAGAAACTATTAGAACTTGTATTTATTTTTATTGTTATAATTTTTAAAGCTTTTGTGTGTAAAATAATGTATATGTCAGTGAGTAGTACATATATATCAATAGTTTATAAATAATTAAAATACACATATAATGGGTATATGTACTCTAATTTTATTTTTGCTTTTGGTGGTATATGATCAAAAATTTTTGAGACCAGATAAGACTCTTATAGCGCATCTGGGTGAGGGTTTTTATTCTGTTATTTGTCAGTTCCTCCATAAATATGAGCTTCATGATATGCACAATTGTGTGTGTGTGTGCACACACGCGCACGCATGCCCCCTCATGTATGTGTGTTTTTCTTGTGAAAAATTCCGTGGCTCTCACCAGATTCTCGGGAGTCTTTGGCCCTGAAGATCAAATATGCTGGGTTTCCCTGGTGGTGCAGTGGTTAAGAATCCACCTGCCAATGCAGGGGACACGGGTTGGAGCCCTGGTCCGGGAAGATCCTGCATGCCGCGGTGCAACTAATCCCACGTACCACAACTACTGGGCCTGCGCTCTAGAGCCCGCGATCCACAACTACTGAAGCCTGTGCGCCTAGAGCCCATGCTCCACGACAAGAGAAGCCAGCGCAATGAGAAGCCTGTGGGCACCTCAACAAAGAGTAGCCCCTGCTCGCTGAAACTAGAGAAAGCCCGTGCTCAGCAACGAAGACCCAATGCAGCCAAAAATAAATAAATAAATAAATGTTTTCTAAAAAATGCATAAAATCAAATATGCTTATCTGGGATCCCTGGGCCATGAAACCACTGAAGTTCTTTTTGGGAGGACTGGACCTTGTTTACATATAACTGCCTAGTTTAAATTAAGTGGTACTAACTGATTCACTTTGTAATAAAGCAGAAACTAACACACCATTGTAAAGCAATTGTGTACTCCAGTAAAGATGTAAAAAAAAAATTAAGTGGTACTTCGTTTGAAAAATAATATGTATGATTAGATACATATTCTTTTTTCTTTTTAATTAATTAATTTTGGCTGCGTTGGGTCTTCGTTGCTGCACGTGGGCTTTCTCTAGTTGCGGCGAGCGGGGGCTACTCTGTTGCGGAGCGCGGGCTTCTCACTGCAGTGGCTTCTCGTTGCGGAGCACAGGCTCTAGGCGCGCGGGCTTTAGTGGTTGTGGCTCGCGGGTTCTAGAGTGCAGGCTCAGTAGTTGTGGCGCACAGACTTAGTTGCTCCGCAGCATGTGGGATCTTCCCGGACCAGGGCTTGAACCCATGTCCCCAGCACTGGCAGGCATATTCTTAACTACTGTGCCACCAGGGAAGTCCCATATTCTTTTTAATAGATTGAAGTCTTATTAAGTCTTTAGTCTGATGAACTGCCGCCAGAATGGTTGCCGTGATCTCATGGTGTGACCTGTGCTGCATACTCTACTAGGGTCTGGGTCCCCTTTACCTTCTTTTAAAAGATATTTTATTGTGTGTTTTCACTAACCTTATACTTCTTTAAAATATTATGATAGATTATTGTCTCTCAAATTCAACTACATTGGCCCTGGATAGATGTGGTTACAAAAGAGCTGCTGTTTGAAACCGGCTGTTTTTCTGTTGTCTCCATAAGCTGCTTTTGTGGAGTCTGTCTGTATAATAGGTGATGGGACTGCATTGAGTGGGGATGTGAGTTAAGTTTAAAAGTCAGCTGATAAGATGCAATTGAGTTTAGTCAAAGTTATTCTTGAAATTCTTAGATCACCCATAAAATTAAAGGTACATGATTTTGTCTATACAGTCCTTTGTGGTTAAAATTTTATATCGCCCCGAGTAGCTCTTCAGTTTCTTCCTTAAAGAGTGTCAACAATCCCATCATCTCTCAGTTGACTGACCACTTGAATGCTGTTTTACTTATTTATTCATTCATTTACCAGTAGTCAGAAAAACCCTACCATTCACATATTCTTTCCAATAAGTACTGGGCCTAGGACACGAGCTCACTGAATAGAATGACTATTCAGATTTTTTTTCAATAAAAAGACTTGTTTTTTAAATATGTATAGGTGAATTTAAGTAACTTCAATGCATATATGATAGAACTGCACTGCATTTCCAACCTATACGACATAATTACACTGTATTTCCAGCGTTGGCCATTTCCCTGCACAAGCCTGTAGCATCCAACTCAGATGAATAATGTGTGTGTGTGTTTTTTCCCTTGGAAAGGAATCACTCTATTTGTTTATTTGTTATGTAATAAGTTTTACGTATGTGCAAGGCATTGCTCTGGGCATTGGAATTATAAGAATGAAAATGACACAGTCCCTGTTCTTATAGAACTTACATTCTAGTGGCGAAAGTAGGCAATAAATAAACCACAAAGGAGGGCTTCCCTGGTGACGCAGTGGTTAAGAGTCCGCCTGCCGATGCAGGGGACGCAGGTTGGTGCCCCGGTCCGGGAAGATCCCACATGCTGCGGAGCGGCTGGGCCTGTGAGCCATGGCCGCTGAGCCTGCGCGTCCAGAGCCTGTGCTCCGCAACGGGAGAGGCCCCAACAGTGAGAGGCCCGCTTACCGCAAAAAAAAAAAAACAAAAAAACCACAAAAGAAAAGAAACATTTCGGGCAGTGTGTGCTGTGAAGAAACATAATCAGGGTGGAGGGCCTTGGCAGGTCCGCTGTCTGGGGAAGGGGAATCAGGTGGCCTCTCGGAGGAGGTGACATGTGAACAGGAGCCTGCATGAAGAGGGGACAAGGGTGGGGGAGGTGAGAGGGTTTGTCAGGTGTCTCTTCCATCACGACCCTGGTTTCCTAGTTCAGGGGAGCAGGCTGCACCCACCCGCCCCACACGAGTGGCACGGTGGGCTTCTTGTGGATGTAGGCGAAACCTCTGAGCAAGTGACTCATGTCAGCGCCATTGCTCATCGCTTCCAAGAGGCTTGGATATGTGGGCAGAGTCGCTTTGGGTTGACTGGGGTTTTCCCACCAGGTAACAGCCGTGCGTTTTACCTAGGATCCCACCAACAGAAATGAGAAAGTCCATGGAATTTGATCAGTCTGGTTTGTACTTTATCTTGTTATGTATATATAAATTTATTGTACCTGATTTTATTAAGGGCTATTTTATTTATTTTTAACAGGAATCACTAGATTTGATCTACTTGGAGACTTTGGAAGGTTTAATTGGCTGGGAAATTTCTATATTGTGTTATCCTACAATTTGCTTTTTGCTATTATGACAACATTGTGTCTGGTCAGAAAATTCACCTCTGCTGTACGAGAAGAACTTTTCAAGGCCCTAGGTAATTCTGAGGTTTATGGGTATTTTTGTCTTTTTCTACTTATTAATAATTTTGACATTTCAGCTCATTTTAAGTCTTCATCTATTCACTTTTCCAAATGTGTAAATCCTTAGAGGTCACGTTCCTGACCCACTACTTACTGGTTATGCTCTTGTATAAAATTACTTCATTAAGTCTCATCTGTAAAATGGTGATAGTGTCTTCTTCTTTTAGGACTGTTGTATTAACTGAAATAGTTCTCTTAAGGGCCTAAGCCTAACCCTAGCGCATGGTAAGAGCTCAGTAGACGTTAGCTCTTTGACTATGATGACGAGGGTAGGCGTGATGAGCTGAGGAGGGTGATGTGCTAAAGACATATTTGGGCGTTGATGCCTCTTACTATTTTTTAGTTAAAGGTTTTTTTCAGGATTGGATTTTATAGGTATCAGGCTGACCCACAACTATAATTCTCTTCAGTTAGTTGGATAATAATTCAGAATAAAAATATTAGTGTTCTTGGCATTAATAAGAGAGAGGACATTCATTATGTATTCTATGAGTCATATGCATTGTGACAGTATTAAAAACTCATAGGTTTGGCTAAGCTATAAAGGGTACAAATGTAACCTACGAATGTATTTTTCATGCTTGCTTCAACATTAGTACTAAACATATTTCAGGTTTTGTATTTTAGGAATACCAGGACAATATAAGCTGTCTTGATGTATAAGCCCTCTTGGGTTTAGGGTGTGTAATTTTATAAAAGAAGGGAACGGTACTGATTTATTGTAGAAAGTCCTGACATTAGCCGTTTACCTGAATTGACATCATTTGAATGCTTATACTCCGTATTCTTTTGTGGCTTTTAGCTATTGCAAAAGGCGACATAATAATTGATTCGTTAAGATTCTGTTTTCAGATACTTTAAACCTTATGAACAACAATAAAGCTTTGCATACCACCAAGCCTTTCCAACCCTGATGCTTGAAAGGATGACCTTTGGGAAGGAAGAAGGATTTCAGATTATCTGTTCATGTCTGTTTTACTGCAAATTTATCGTGGGAGGGGGTGGTTGATGAGATATTGGCCTGAAAGGGGAAGTTACATCTCATTTCAGCTGAAGCACCAGATAATCTATGGATTTTAATGCCTAGATTCCTTAATGCTGGTCAGATTAAAATCTAAAGGTGAAGTCAGAATCAAACAGTCCTCTCAGCCAAATTTTTAGAGTTAAAATTTCATTTTTAAGCCGTTGTAGCATCAGCAATATTAGTTAGCCATAATCTCAGATAAATTCCTACTTACCATTCACGAAAATGAGATGGTTATGAATAAATTGCAGTAAATTTAGCATTTGAGTTGGGTATTCTGGATACCATCTTGCTAAGGAAGTCTTTATTAAAACAGTAAAATGTAATTTAACCTAAGGTAAAAGTTCTAAATGTTGTGTTGGCTCTTTGGCCATAAGAGGCAGTGAAATCATCGAGAGTTGTGTAAAACATCTAATAGATACAGTTTTTTTTCCCTAATATTTTCTGTTACTCTTTGGAATGCTCTAAGGAGGGCAATGCCTTATACCTAGAAAATGATCCTCATTAAGTGTATGTCATGTGTGAATGATCTGAGATCTTAAATATGATTTCACTGGGAATCATAATTTGATTATAAAATATAACTATATCCTTTCTTTTTTCTTTTTCTTCTTCTTCTTTTGTGTGTGTGTGGGAGGTGGGGTGGGAGGGATTTTTCTCTCTGCTGCTGTGCGTTGAGAATCATAACATCTATCTCATAGAGTACCTGGCACATGGCAGACACTCAGAATGTAGCTACCATGATGGTGGTGGAGGTGATTGTTTTTGCAGAAGAGAGACATTGTAGTTTTCCTGAATGCATAACCTTTGCTACACCCAGGTTTTAGAAGTAACTCATTGAAATAATCGATCCTAAAGGGGTTCTGTTCCAGGGAGGGCGTTGGTCACTCGGTCGCTGCTCTCTTTGCCCACGTCCTTCTGCAGCCGGCCTGTGTTAACATGCTTTCTCACGTCCAGCAGTTGTAGGTGCCTTCTGTCACTCAGTGGCTTGGCCATTCCTGAACAAAAAAACAAGAACTGTTTTTTTGTGTGTGTTGGATTGATTTATTTTTCCTTTCCCAGTCATGCATCATAGACAGGCTCAATTTTACCTTTTCTTTCATTAAGATATGCAATGATAGAAATTTAAAAATTTGGAGTGCTATGTTGGCTTACGAGGGATATAAAATTGCTTACCAGTCAGGTAGACAACCATCTGAAATTTTAGGGGAAAAATCATCTTATCCAGGTATATTTTTATAAATATCTGAGCCTCATAAAAATTGTTTCCTCAGAATCTTTTCCATGGATGTGTTGCTTATGTGCTCTTGACTGTCTTTATGCTTCATTTTGTTAAAGTGCTCAGAGCTTTAATGCCACTTAAACTCTTAAAATTTCTTCTCACTTTTCTGCCTGTGAGGGCGCAGTATTGTCCTATGTGTCAGGTATACTATGTAAATAATTGCTGTGTGATACAGAGGGAAAGTAACGTAACTTAAAAGGTAGTAATAATCTTTTACTCTGTGAAATATCTTTGAGTAGTGAAATCTTCTTTATGGTCAGTTCGTTCTGTTGCCATTTCTTTCTTCTTGGTAGTGTCTTCTGTTGCTTTTCTTTTTACTTGCATGCTTTATGTTTTCGTGTGTCTTTCCCTGCATTTTCCTGTGAGTGTGTATGTATGGGTGTCTTTTAAAACAAAAATGGGGTCATCCTCGTTTCAGGTTGTTCCCTGGGAAGGGCACTAGGGTGTGGGGATAAGCTTGCAGGAGGAGGTTTATTAGAAGTTGCTCTTGGGACCAAGATGGAGGGCGGGGCAGGGGCAGGAGCTGTGCGGAGGGCAGTGGCCGCTGCATCTCACCGGAAGCCTCAGCCGGCCCCGTGGGATGTTGGATGAAGGAAGGACTCCCAGGCTGCCCTGAACTAGGGGAGGCCCGACTGCCTCCTGGGCAGCTGTCTTCAGCTCAGGCCCAGGCGCTGCCGGTGGGGAGAAGGGCCCTTTCATCCTACAGGGAGTGTAGCCAGAGAGGCACAGTTCCCTCAGGAGCACGGCACACTCTGCCCGACCTCTCAACAATGCATTAGTTCTTACATCTTCTTCATTTTCCTGCAGGGCTTCATAAACTTCACTTATCAGATACTTCAAGGGATTCAGAAACCACAAAGCCTTCTGCAAATGGGCATCAGAAAGCACTGTGAGACCCACAGCACCGCTCTGCAATCAAGAGCCTGAGCACCCCAAACTTGTGACATTCCCGTCAGTCAGGGATGTTTCCTGCTGACTGTGGTCCATGTTTACGGCCTGGGCCTGTCAGTGTCGTTTTCATAATCTAAGAGCTCGGCTGTTGCAGGTCTTCTTCTTTTTATTTACCTTTGGGGCGGCCCTTGTAGTTCCCAGCCAGGTGCAGCCTCCTCAGGGCGGCACGTCTTCTGGGGCCATGTTTGCTTGCATCAGTTATGCGCCCATATGAGAGTGTTAGAAAAGGCCAACTTTGGGGCTTTCTAAGGATTCACTTAAATCTTGTTATATATTCCATTCAAAACGAATTCCATTCATGCCGTACATGAAAGGGCATCCTTGGTACTTAGATGTGAAATTTCTGCAAAAAAGGAAAGTTTATAGATGATATTGCAGTGGGTACATTGGAACTGTAAATGGTTGCAAATTATATTTTTCACTTCCTTAAAGAAAAAACAAAAGCATAGTTCTGATTTATGTTACAGAATGATATTGATTGGACTTTGAGTCAAGGGAAAAATACAAAATTCTTTTAAAACCTGAGCCTTGGTAGGATGCCACAGGAATACCTCCTACTGTCCCGTGGAATAAGCTGTGGTAGGAAGTATTATGTAATCATACTTCTCTGACAGTTTATGTGCATATAATTCAATATTACCTCTCATAACATAGTTGCCAGTGTTGCATACACTTGTAACTTATATTTTGCCTTATAGGCTATATGTACACTCAGTTTTTTTTAAACATTTTTTTCAGAAATCCCTTAATTCCCTGTGTCCATTATGAACTATAAATGCTCTGTGGTAGACACCCCTTCTGTCGCCACAGTCTTCAGGCTTTGACCACTTCTGTACATGCCAATTTAAACATCAGACTTACGAATGTTACCATTCAACACCCAAAACACACAGCATCAGCATTCATGATGTAAGAAAAGTTTTGCCGTGTATCGTGGTCTGATGATCATTCAGTTATTAAATTGTAAATAATTCTTGGGATGGGTTCTTGACTTAAGTCCACTGAATAAAAGCTATAACATTATACTCCGTGTTACCATCCACTAGGATCGAGTACCAGAAATTGTGCATGCAAAAATAGCACATGGGTCCACTTGCACACAGTTCATATCATGCAGCCTCTGTAAACACATATGTTCATATGCGCTGTGTGTTTGGCAACAGGTTGTGTTCAGACAAAAGTAAAAGAACAGTTTTCTCAAATTGTTGAATTTAAAGGGTTTTTTTGGAGAAATTTATGAAAAACAGGCTATATATATTTTGACATCAAAAATTTCCACTTAGATCCAATATAATAAGAGAAAGTAACCCAAAGCTCCATTATGTATACTTCTCCTTTATTTATACCTCTGCATTTCCTTCTGAGCTTCTTTTCCTGTTAAAATGCAGCTTAGTTTTAAAATAAAAGAACATTTTGTGATTCTAAACAACACTCAGTAAATACCACCAGTCTAGTATGGGTGAATTTCTCAGCATAAGATCCACATACTGAGAAAATGAATAAAAATTGGCTGCTTTCTAATTTTACTGGTAATTATACCTATTTAAGTGTTAATTGCAAGTTTTGATTTTTACTGAAACTTGCTTGCTTTGAGCAGACCAGGTCAAGGGGAGAAGAGAAAGGAATTCCTTTAAATAAAAGAATATCACTTCTAACTTACACTAATTTCAGGGCAGACATCCAGAGGAAGAGCTTCTGGGTATTTGTAAGATGTCTGAAAATTTTTGAGTAAAATATTAAACTTTTCAATGTCTGTATCAACTCTTTGTTCATTTGAAAGTTTCTTTCCATCAAGAGGACTTAAGCCAGGTTTGGATTAGTAAGGAGTGAAATGTATTATAAATTCCTGAAGCTCTTACTGGATGCTTCTTCACTGCTGTGTGGAGCAGAGGGACGGTTTTGAACCTTGGGTGCCAGATGCCTTCTGTGGAAGCAAATATAGGTTGTCACATCCTCGGTCTGCACGTAATGACAACCACCTGAGGCTCTAGCAACACCTGGTGCATTCCGGGTCACAAGCACAGTCCTCCTCTTGAGGGAGACACTTACTGTAAATGCAGGCGCTTCTCCTGCATGCACGCTGGAGGCTGGCATGTGCACCTGTGGCAGAGGTGGCTGCGGCGCACTGAGACCGAGCACTGGAGGACCGGTAAGGACAGACAGGCACCCGTGAGCTTCCTGTTACCGCAGTTGTGAGTGCAGTGGAGGGCGAGCACGAGGCCTCAGGTCCGAGGTCCCGGTGCCGGCGGTCGGACGGGCCTGAAACTGCCTTCCTTCTAAGTGGGTGGGGTACATCACTGACTGCGTTAAATCAAATGCTCCTTTTATTTTTTCTCACCACTGGGGTCTATTTTAAAAGGGCATTAGGCACTGCAATCACAAAGTTTCTTGAGGAGACTGGGCCAATTCTTATCATTCATTGGTTCTACAGTATGTAAATAAATTATTTTGAAGTTATAAATTTTACAGATTATAATGTTTGTAATGATTTTTACTGATTTTCCAAGATATTTCTTAGATTTAAAATTTGTTTAGCTTTATATACATTCTGTGTAAAAATAGACCTGCTGTAAATATGAGACTTTATGTGAAAATTACACACACACACACACACACACAGGTTAGCACCTTCAGTGCCACGCTGAGGGGCTGACAGTGGATGAGAATGAAACCTTCCTGGTGGTTCTGAGTCTCGGGTGTGTCAAAGGTGCATATATACCTGACCTTCGGGGCACCGACTTCTGCCTGGTTTTCTGGAGCAGTCGGCCTCCCTGTGGCCTCTGTAACCGCCTTATTTGCCAGCAACACAGGCTTACATCGTGTGAAAGCCCTAGGTGGCTTTCTATGTTGTTAGCACAGTATTTAGTATATAAAGGCAGAGTTCTTAAAATAATTTTTTTTAAAGTATGAGGATACATGCAGTACTGACTTTTTAAACTTTTAAAAAATTGGTATGATGTTACTTTAAAAATAATGTTTGGATGCACTGGCAAATTATTTTTGTTTACAGAGTGTTTTGTTTACAGGTTATCAGTCTTGTTTCTATGAGATACTTTTAGTGTGACTTTTTAAATGTCTCAGAAATTAAAGTTTTACAAAAAGTGATTTCATATTTTGGTTTACAAGTACTCAAATGTGTTTTTTATTTTTAATCTTAAATACCATCATGGCTAAAACTTAAGGGCGTATATAGGTTATTTTCATTTCAGTTTTATAAAGGGCAATAACTATTCTTATGGAATGTTGAATTGAGGGAGGAGTGGATATTTTCTCTCCTTTTTGTTGGGGAGTTTTTGATGGATCAATTTCTTGCAACCTAAAATGTAGCATCAATAATTGAAATCATGTATGTTGTTTCTTTGACTTATTTAGGTTTGATTTCTCTAATTTCTTCCATTGAAGGACTGAGCCATATACCTGATTGTGGTGTGAGCAGCTTAATCCAGAGTGCTTGGAAGGCAAAGGCCTTTAGCATGTGGTTCATTCACTGACAAACAGAAGCCTCTACGGCAGTGGCTTTCAGACTTCTGACCAGAGTAAGAAATCCAGTCTACATTGTAACTCACACACACATACATACTTCTATACACAAACAAAAATTTAACAGAACAGTACCTACTTTTACTGTGTGTGATGCATGCTGGCTTTTTCTATTCTGTTTTGTTGGTATTTTTAAAAAAATACTTGACACAAACCACCAAGTCATTTCCTGGCTGAAAGAATACAAAGCATTTTTTTGGCTTTTGAATATTGTTCAGGTAAAATTCATTATTGCAAATACCACTGAAACAAAAGGATTGCATGTGCAAATTACTTGTTCCACTGAAAAGAATGTAATTAAAATCAGTAGAAATCGCTCAGACTCTAAAAAGTGGATTATAAAATTTCAAAACTAAGTGATTGATCCATGTCTTAAAGGAGTAGTGCTGGGAGCTAGTTTTCAAGATAAGTTATTTAACTTCCAATTCTTTGCAATTCAATTAGGAAAAATTTTTTCGAGTTCAAATGTAATCAAACAAGAAATTCACACAAAACCCAGTCATCCTGGATATGACTTTGGTGCTGTGCTCTTCTAAAGGTGTGAAGAAGTCAGGTTCTCACAAGCATGGATTACAGAAAGCAGGGCAGCAGCAGCTGTGCATGTCTTCTGAGGACCAGAGAGAAACAAGGATCTTCAGTGTCTCAGTGTGAGGACGCTGAGATTCAAATGTGGGCTGTGAATCTGAGGAAGAAAGTTTTTTCAGTTTCTAAGAATACTATGTGAAGGATGTAATGTCTTTCCCTTTGAAAAGCTATCATTAAAAGAGTGTACTGCTTACAAACAGTGACACTGAGGATCGAGGATTTGGGACACTTCTGGAGTTGGCGTATTGGTTCTGCAGCCTTCCCTTCACAGCCCTCTGGAAATCTTCTACAGTTTTTCTCTGTCGGCTTAACAGTGGGCTTGAGGATGGGGTGACAGAGGTATTATTGCCGATGCTAGCACCTGTCCCTCCCCGGCCTGTGCCTGTTCAGAGAGTTTCTCATCACCTCCACTCTCTCTCATCCTCTGACTTCAGTCTCAGCAGTGATTCACTTCTTTTCTCTTTTTAGTCCTCACTGTGGCATCTCATCAGACCTCGAGGTCAAGGAGGCGAAGGGGGCGTGGGGCGAGGGAGGAGGCGGTGTGGTGTTCTTGCTGTCAGCAGCCCGGAGACCTGGGAAATGGGGAAATACACGCCTCCATTCTACAGAGAAGGGGCCCAAACACACGAAGGGTGAGGTTTGCTGAGGTCACACAACTAGGGAGTTGAAGAGCTGTCTGTGAACGCAGGTCAGTATCACTGAGTCTCACCTCTTCCTGGTTTGGGGGTTTTGATTTCTTAGTGACTCCAGTCGGGTGGTTCAGAATTTTCCAACGCCGGGATATTGAGTCAAGTGTTTGAACATCGTCTGTCTTTCGGCTTGTCTTAGTGCTGGTGGGGAGTTGCAGAAGTGTGGCATAGTCCCAGGGTCCATATTTCTAGGCCTTAGAAACTCAAGCAGACTTGATTCTTTCTCAGTTATGCAGCTAAACATTTAGTAATGCAGATAACATAAGTAGATATCTAAGATGTGGTTCTAAAATGAGACCAATTTTATGTATATAGCTTGCAAAAGGGACTTAACTGCTTTAACTTGGTAATAACAGCAATAATAATAATAGCAGTAGCCACTTAAATAGTGCTCGCCTGTGCCAGGTATTGTTCTAAGCATTTTACATGTGTGTGTATATGCATGTTTATTTAAATACGTAACTTATTTAATCCTCCTGACAATCCTGTGAAGTAGGTACTGTTAATATTCCCACTTTGCAGATGAGGAAGCTAAAGCACAGAGAGGTTAAGTAACCTGCCCGGGGACCCACAGGACACAGGATTCGAATCCCATGCCAGCTGGCTCCTGAGTCCTTACGCTTAACCACTTTATAAACATTGCTTCTCAGATAGACTTTATTTACCACTTACAGCCGATGGAAAGAAGGCACCTGTTTTCACACAGGAGGCCCTGAGACTAGTTGACAGAGCCCTGTCTAAGATCAGAGCCTCTGAGACCGAACAAAGGGACTTGTTTAAAATTGTTACCTCTCTTCGTGGTGCTTGGTGAGAACACTGAACCAGGTAGAGAGCGCGTGTGAGACACTTGGGCTTTAAGAATGCGGCTTGATTGCCTTGGAAGAAAACGGTTCGGGAAAAGTTTTTTAAAGATGATGGCTCTGCTCCACGTGTCACAGGTCGCAGCCCTGCAGGTTTCCCGCAGTCCAGCGAGCTCTGCATTTGGGAGGGGTTTAGGTAGAGCCGCTGTGAGCCACTGGTGCTCAGCGAGCACAAGCCTGGAACTGGCGGCCTTGAGCCCCAGTGTGGGCCGACCAGAGCTTCGGTTTCCTCATGATTTCTGCATTCCTTTCCTCAACAGGTAAAAGGGTCAGGACCTGCGGTTGTGAAAAAGCGCGAGGAAACAGTAGCCATAGTTATCTACCAATCTGAAAGGGGGGGAATCACACCTGTGTACCACGTAGTAGAAAACGCCAGGTGGCTTCTGTATCTATGTATGTGTTATCTGTGTATGTGTATCTGTGTATCAGTGCATGTGTATCTGTGTATGTGTATCAGTGTATGTTTATCTGTGCATGTATATCAGTGTATGTGTATCTATGTATGTGTTACATGTGCACCAGGCTGTGGCCGACATGCCACAGCCGCTGACACAGGGCCTGAAATGTTAGGTACTTGATAAGTATTAGCTGTTATTTTAAATAATTTATTTAAATGTTCTCTTATAGTTGCTTGACACTTTTAAGATAATGTCACAATTAGTTGTAGCAGATCCTATAAAGGAGTAAAATAAGATTTTAAAATTTTTGCTAGTGGGGGCTGTATAGGAACAACTGAGACCAGCTCTGTAAAGGCCATTCAGCATTTATCTGGTCCATGTGGGGCTTTTCTAAGTGAGTCCTCACTTATCCTTGTGGAAATTTTTCATCTACTGGAGTTGCCTAAAATCATCATTTCTTAAATTATGATGAGGATTTTGGAATCGTACAGGCTATGTTAAAAACTTGTAACAAACAAGAAAGCATTTTTGAGTCTCCACATCCTCATGTTTATTTGGATAAGCTTGAAAGTCTAGATGTATCAAACATTAAATTAATTACAGTTTCCTTATGAGGCTTTGTCTTTGAAATAGAAGCCAAGTCTCTGTCTACAAAAGGCAGTGAGGAATTCCCTGGCGGTCCAGTGGTTAGGACACAGTGCTTTCCCTGCCGAGGCCTGGGTTCAATCCCTGGTCGGGGATCTGAGGTCCCACAAGCCTCGCAGCTCAGCCAGAAAAGGTGGGGGGTTGCGCAATGGTATTGGACCGTTACAGTGTTTCTGCTGATTTGCCTGATCTAAGTCAAGTTTCAGCGTTTAAATTGTCATTGTAATTCCATGTGGTTGCTCTGTGACGAACCACATGCCACCACAGGATTGTCGTATGTATATGGAACCCCCTTTGTTCATGAGCTTTTTTTCCTACCAATAGATGTAGGTTTACATCATTCCATTGAATGGCTATATAGTATTCCTCTTGATGTGTATGGACCATATATATATATTTTTTTCGGTACGCGGGCCTGTCACTGCTGTGGCCTCTCCCGTTGCGGAGCACAGGCTCCGGACACGCAGGCTCAGCGGCCATGGCTCACGGGCCTAGCCGCTCCGCGGCACGTGGGATCTTCCGGGACCAGGGCACGAACCCGTGTCCCCTGCATCGGCAGGCGGACTCTCAACCACTGCACCACCAGGGAAGCCCCATGGACCATATTTTAATCAACTCCTTAGGGATGGGTGTCTAGATTATTTCCAATTTCTAACTACTGTAAATACTAACAAATAGCTTTCTACATGTATCTTAGCACACTGTTTTATTATCTCCTTAGAAGTTTATAATGAAAAGCTCCTCTTTCTCGTACTCTCACTGTTTCACTTGTAGCCACCAAATGTGTGGGGTTTTTTTCTACACCAAGTATTTCTCCAATTCTCTGTGGATAACTACATGGGTTTCCTACAATTCAGTTCAATTCTGACACTATCTTCATGAAATTTAGTGCACACCCACATGTTAGGGGCTCAGTCCCAATAAGACTGGCTGCCTACCCGCCCTGTCCCCCCGCTTCAGATGCTGATCCCAAGCCCAGGCTGTCACCTGTGCTTCTGAACAACCCGCTGTACATCAGAGGGTCCCAAGACCCCCTCCTCCAGTTCAGTAGTTTGCTAGGGCAGGTCACAGAATGCTGGAAAACAGTTGACTTGCTAGATTACCTGTTTCCCATAAAGGATACAAGTCAGGAACAGCCGGATGGAAGAGAGGCACAGGCCAGATTCGGGGAAGGGGCACTGAGCTTCCCCACCCTCTCGGGGTGCCCCACTCTCCTAGAGCCTCCACGCGTTCACCGACCCGGAAGCTCTCGGAGTCCCTTCAGTTAGCGGTTTTCGTGTGTGTGGAGGCTTCGCTATATAGGTGTGATGGATTAAATGATTGGCCACTAGCGATGAGCTCACCCTCCAGCCCCTTTCCACTCCCCAGAGGTCAGGAGGGTGGGTCTGACCCCTAATTAGTTGGTTGATTCCCCTGGCCATCCTTGGGGAGTTTCCAGAAGTCACCTCATTCAGTGTGGAGAAAAGGGAACCCTCCTACACAGTGCAGCCACTATGGAAAACAGTGTGGAGGTTCCTTAAAAAATCTAAAGATAGAGTTACCATATGATCCTGCAATCCCACTCCTGGGCATGTATCTGGAGAAAACTCTAATTAGAAAATTTACATGCACCCCAATGTTCATAGCAGCACTAGTTACAATAGCCAAGACATGGAAACAACCTAAATGTCCATTGACAGATGAATGCATAAAGAACA